CAAATATACTATAAAAATACTAAATTAAATAATAAAACTAAAAATAAAATAAAAGAAAAATAAAGAAATAGAAAATTGTAGGTGTAACAATATTATTTGCAATATTATAAAACTTAGCTTCTACTTTTAAGAGACTTAAACAAGTACAAATAATATAGAAATAAGAGGTACTAAGCTATCTAGCTTGCTATCAGATAAAGAGCTAAAAGATTTTACTAATAGCAAAAATCTAAATATTTTCATAACAGACTAGCTAATTAAAGAAAAAAAATACAAACTTCTTTCTTAAAAACAAATAAGATAGATAAGAAAATATAAAAGAAAAAGTCATAAACCAAATTGGTTTAAATTAATTGAAAAAAAAATACTTGTAGATCATAACTCAAGAGAAGTTTTAGATATTTTAAAATTCTAAATACTAATCAAGAAGTCTTAAAAGCAAGTAGACAAAAGATAAATAAAGATAAAAAAAAAAAAGAGTAGATTATTTTCAAAGAAAAAAATATTCTAGTCTTAAAAAAAATAGTTAAAAAAACTAATAAAAGTTCATGTTAATATATCAGAGAAAGAAGTATTCTAGTCTTAAAAAAAATAGTTAAAAAAACTAATAAAAAGTTCATGTTAATATATTAAAAACTTGAAAACTCTAAAGATATATCTTGAGTAAGCTTTGTGAAATATGAAGAATATAGTCTTAGCAAGAAAAATAACTCTAAATATTTAATCAGCAAGTCTATAAGCAAATAGTATTAAATTATAAGCAAGATAGTAATAGGCAAAACAGGTTTAGTGATATTAGAAGTACTATTCTTAGCTTATCTAGAAAAAGTAGAATACAATTCAAGTAAAGAACTAGAAACTTAGCATAATATATAGATAAGAATATTAAACAAAAAAAAAGCAATCATTTAGAGAGTAATTAAAAATAAAAATATATGAAAAAACCTAAATAAAATAGTAAAGAAATTAAAAGAAAGAAAAGTATTAAATATATATACAAACAGGTTATTAGCATATGATAGCATAAGAATAATAAAAGAAAAGAAGATAAAAATAGAATAGGTAATAGCTAGTAAAGGAGAAATAGAGTAGAGAATATAAGTTTTAATAATAAAATAGTTAACTGGTTCTCATCAAACTAAGCAGAGCTTAGAGCAATCTAAATAGCAATTTTAGCAACTTCTTGTAATGTTCAAGTTAAAATTTTTGCAGATGGCAAAATAGTAATTAAAAGAATTACAAGTAGTAAACTCTCAAATAGTATTTATAAACTTTTTAAAACTAAGAACTGAAGTCTGATTAAACAGATAAAGAAGTACTACAAAGCAAAATATTAAAATAGAGTTTATAAAGATTAAAAGATACAATGAAAATATCTAAAATGATAAAGTAGACAAGCTTGTAAAATTGGATTTAAGCTTATACTATATTTATAATCTAGCAAATATTGAAATGCCAAGAATTTGTTAATATCTTATTAATTTTTATAAGGGAATTTTTGATATTTACTATTTAGAATAGTAGTTTTTTTAAATTTCACAAAGAGATTTAATTAATGCAGATAAAATCAAAGTTTTAATAGTATATAATTACAATAATAATATAAAAGAATGAAAAGAAAAACATTCTATGAATGAACTTTAGTTAGTTAGATTTAGTGAACAACAATTGTATTTAGTTTAAAACTATAAAAAAGCTTTAAAACTTATCTTGTTTGTTAATAATAAAATATGCTACTTAAACAGATGTATTGCTCTAATTGTCACTAATTGGCCTAGCTAATTATTTATTAGAAAACTATTATATATAAATATTACTACAAGAAATTAAACTATTCTTACTAATACTAGATCTACTTTACTTGTTTTTAAATAGTCAAGAACAAGTTTTACTAGTTTATCATTCTTTTTTTGAAAAATTATTCTACTTTGTATTTAGTATACATAAAAAATTAGCAAAAAAAATCTCACTTCTGACAAATAAATCTTATTTTAGAACTTGCTTGAAATAGTTAGATCAATATTTGAAACAGAATTATAGAAAAATTCAGTTATTATTATAAGGATATTGAGTATCAAACTATAATCAATTTGCTTGATAATTTGGTTTCAGTAGTGCTTAATATGTATACTAGTTTATTTTGATCTAGTTTATTTTATAAATATATAGAGGCAGTTTTTAAAATTTAGACATTCATTTTATACTAGAAATGAAAAAACTATAATAAAGCCTCTCTTATTTTTTTGTTAGATTTGTTTTAGCTAAAGAATATTAATCATCTTTTTTTTGATGTAATTATAATATATTTGCTAAGCATTAATGAGTATTATATGAAAAATACTTATAGTTATATTAGAGCTAATATTTCTTCAAATATAATAGCTGAAAATATCATAAAGCAAGCCTATGTTATCAGTAAATATTTTTATTTATTTAATAGACTTAATTAGGTATTGCACCCTGCAATATAACTATATATCATATCTAGCAATTTATCTAATCAGATTTGATGATCAGGTATAATGTTATATTTGTCTTGAAGATCAGGTATAATATAAAATTTTTGCTTTTTTGCTTATTTTTTAAAGAAATTGCAAATATTTCAAAATTTTGATTATGAAATCACCTTTGGCATTCTAATTAAAAAAATTTCTTGCTAAATTTTACTATAAAGTAGTCTAACCCTAATTGAGTTTTCACCTTAACTCTAAGCTAAATAGGGATTTGGTTTTTTAAAAAAAAATATATATTATACAAATCTGCAAACTATATTTTTGTATATACATGCAATATATAGCTGTATCACAAGGTGCAATGCATATATTTATTCTTATTTAATTTTGTTTTTTAAAATTTTTTTGAAAAATGATTTTTATACATCATTTTCGTATAACTTTACATACATCAATTATTTTTAACTAATAAATTATTGCATGATTTAGTCACATGAGATTTAAATTTATTTTCAACAAATTTTATTAGTCAAAAACAAATTTATGTATATAATATTATATGAAACTGATGTACAAGAATTATTTCTCAATTTTTTTTATTTATTCTATTCTTTTATTAAGTAGATCATAACTTAGTATTCAAAGATATCTATTATAAAAAATAACAATACTTATACAATAAACTAACTCTTGATTTTTTGAATAAAAAAACTAGTCTTTTTTTATTACAATATTTCTGGGATTTATTTTGTAATATTGAAAAAAGTAGTTACAAATTTGAAGGAAAAAAAAAAAAATAAAACCTAGAATTATATTACTTTGTAATCTTAGAAGAAAATATAAAATTATGATATTTACTCATAGCTTATAATATATTATACTTACTAAGGCCTGAATTATATGATTTCTGTAAATCCTCTTTAAGTAATAATAATAAAATAGTTTTTATTTGTAGCTATAGCTATCATTTTGTGTGTTATAATAAAAAATGTATTCATTGTAAGAAATTTTATAAGAAGAGAATTTTTGAGAATGTTAAATTATTTTAAAAACAGATTGAAAAAGGTCTTGATATACTTATACTAGAAGATCTTGATAATAATGAAGAAAGTGAAGAGAAGGAAAGTCCTGAGGAAATTAAGAAGAATTCAGATATTTCTTCTAGATTAGAAACAGAAATTAACCAAATATATTTTTAGTAAAAATATAAATTAGTATAAGTAAAAGCTAATAAATCAAATTGCAAATTAAATTTTTTTTTTTTTTTTTTCTGAATTATTATTGTATTATTTTGAAAATAGAATTTTGAAGTTAATTTATATTCATATTATCTTTGCTAACTTCAATATTCACATTTAATAAAAGTTACCTAACTCTTAGATTACAGAAATTATTCTCAACTGTCTATTTGTTAAGCAACCAAAAAATAATTATATGAAGTTTTATAGAAAATCAATAAATTTTTAATATATTTTTTATATATCTCTAATTTATATCTAAATTATAAAAAAACTTTGTATAACATTTATACATAAGTCAAATTTCTGTCATGCTGATAATAAAATATATTTATTTAAAGATCAAATTTTAAAAAATCTTAAAGCTATTTTTTGTTGTCTAGCTTTTATATATAAGCTGTATTATTTCATATTATAATTATTCTTTAATTGACTAGTAGATTATCAATTAACTTTCATGACTCTTATTTCAATAAATTTTAAAACTATCATAATAATTTAATATTCACTTAATATTTATCATATAAACTATTTCTTTCTATATTTAATATATTAAATAAAAAAAAAAAATTAATATTTAAAAGAAAGCTTAAGAATTAAACTTTATTTTAAGAGATATATTAGCTCAACTCTTCTTGTTAATTATTAATACCAATATCTAAACAAAAAAAAATCTTGTTTTTACTCTAAATATCTAGTAATACTTTTAATACTTACCTAGTAAACTATATATTTTAACTAGCATAAATGCAGAAGTCTAGTTATAAGTAGCACAAGTCTAGTTAGTTGTAAAAGGCTCTCTTTTAGTAAAGTATATATATAGAAACTTGTATATACATATGAAGTATTGTCTATGAATTAAAACAAAATAAGAAGAAGAAAACAGTTATAGTAGTTAAAGTATAAAGTTCCAACTATAATATTAGAATTAGATCTAGTATATTTCTCTTTTTAAAGTTTATTTTGATATTGTTTTCTCTTTTCTTTAGATTCTTTAGATTTCTTTCTATTAAAAATAATAAAAAGTAAGAGATTTGATAAACTTCTAACAAAAGATCAGCAAGTTTGTACTACTTTTTAATTTGACAAGTCATTTGTTAATATATACTATAACTTAGATAAGACAACAAATACATATAGTACTATCATATAGATGATCTAATTAGAATTTAACTTTCAAATGAGTTTTTATTACTAAAAATATATGTTTTTGTTTTTGTATAGCATAATATTTTTATTTTTTGTTTATTTTTTTTTCTTTATATTAAGAAGAAAAACTCTTTTTTTTTATTTTTTTTTATTTCTCTTTTATTTATAAAGGTTTTTTAATTCAATAAAAAATTTTTTCCTTATAAGCTATATTCATATAATATGTAATTATATTCTATTATATATAACAATTTTTAAACTTTTTTTATATTTTGAGACTAGATATTAACTACTTTTAACTTAGTATAAATTAGATTAGAAAAAATTTAGAATTCTGATATTAAGCTAAAAGTTACTATTATTGATCAAATTTTAAGAAATCTGTTCATACAAATTATAGTTTTTAAAAGAAAATAAGCTTTTGCAGTAGATTGAATTTGAGTACTCTTAAGGTAGCTAAGTTGGTTTAGATTAAAACTTAATTTATATACTTATATTTTAATAAAGTAACAGATAAGACTACTCAAATTATAAAAAAATAAACTTTATTTTGAAGATTTAATTATTATGATAGTATTAAAAGAACTCTTTCTGATGATTATTAGAACTGAAATAGAGTAAACGAAAAAAGACTACAAGAAATAACCTCAACTACCTAGTAAGAAAAAATATTGAATAGTACGAGAGATAATGTCCTGAACTAGGCAGAGTGTAGTTTTTAAACTATTACTGCTAGTTTTGTAAAAGGCCTACTGGAGCTTTGCTACTGATCTTAGCAAGTCTTAGTTTTTTTTTGGCTTACTGAATAACTTGTAGATATTTTGTAAACAAACTTACTAAACTACTAAAATTGGATCAAGTAGCAATACACTTCCTCTACTGTCTTATGACTTTTGGTTCTACTTGAATAAACATCTTATATTAAAGTTTTGTAGTTTTTTCTCTTTTCCTTTTTTTTTTGTTTTTTTTCTCAAAAAAAGAGGAATTCAGTTTCCTCTTGCAAATAACGATCTTTGTTTATCTTTACCATTTTTGGACTATCACAGAAAAAGCAACTATGTGACAAATTGGTCTGTTTGGATCTTTGTTGTACTACACATAAGTAACCATATGCATCTGGTCTTTGGAAACTACAGCTAAAGTACGAGACAAATTACTCTAAAGATGGAGTTCAGTTAGAAATTATATAAGATATGTTTATATTACTATAACATAATATTTTTGTTTCTGGTCCAGGCTAAAGAGCAATTCTTTTCTTTTTTATCTTTGTTTGTTTCTTTTTATCTTTTTTTTATTACTTCTATATTAGTATTTTTTCCTATAGCAGGTTTTTACTTAGATAGATGATAGTCATAAATTGTAGTTACTTAAATCTGTACAATTTTTATTTTTTAGTTCTTATTGTTATAGTTAGGTTTCTCTTTATTGTTTCTTTAAAGTAGACTTTTAGGAGGGATAATTAGAAACTTGCTATTGCAGTCAGAATGGGCTGTGAGTTCTATACTATTGATCTTTATTTTCAAAGCATTAGAATGTATGAGAGAGTAAAAGAAGAGGAATACTCATTATAGCAGATCATTCATAGATTCATATAGAAACTAGAAAAGCTACACTTTAGAAAACTTAAAACATTACCATGTATAGGGCTTATATATAGTTCTTTGTTAGTTTTTGTATTACAAAAATTTCAAATAAAGTTGTAGTCTAACTGCTGAATTTTTTAAAAAAAAAAAATTATTATAATAGTGTTACAGATAGTCTAGTCTTTTTAATATACTATAAGTAATAGCAATACAGCTATTTAATTATTTTAAGAAGCAGTATCTAAAATAGAAGTTTCTTTAACTAATTGTAAAGACAAGTTCTACTCTACAAGAGGTAGTTCGTTTAGGTTTATTTAATAACAATATATTTATTAATTATAAATATTTAGAGTCAAATACAAGAAGAAAGAAGGAGTTAAGGTTTAAATAACTAAAAAGCAAGAAGAGAAATTCCACTTGTATTTATAACTTTTAGCAAATGTTATGTAAGCATTAGCAAAGCACTATATAAATGACTTGTGCAAGTATCATTTAAGTATTTATGCAAGTAACAGTTAAGTATTACTATTAATAGTTTGGCACAGTACTTGATACAGTTTAGTATAGTCTAATATAGTCTTTCAGCATAGTCTGGTATAGTATTAATATAGTATTTAGTGCAGTTTTGATATAGTTCTTAGCAAAGTATTCAGCATAGTTTAGCATAGTATTTAGCATAGTCTAGTATAGTTTTAATACAGTATTTTCTTGCTATAGCCTATATTTTCTTTGAATATTATATAATAACTTCAAATATAACTTATATTATTATATAGTTGATATTCTTGACTACAAAATTACTTAAGTGTATTTTTCACTATGAATACTTCTTGAGGGACTTCACTTAGAAGTGAATATTTACAATAATTTTCTCTACTTTAAAATATCTATACTAAAATAATACAATATAAGAAATAACTAAATACTAATAAATATAACTAATAGTAATAATAAAATATAATAATAAAATAGTCTAGTGATCTTAGTGTAGTAGTTAGATTGTCAGACTGCTATGCAAAAGGTCTAGGGTTTAAATCCTACTATCAATAAATTTGAATAATTATTCAAACCTTTGTATCTAACTTATAGTAAACTCTGTTCGTTTCTAGAAATTACAATCTTGTAAATCATATTGCACCAATGTCAATTAGATATTAGAAGTGTAATGCAATATTTGAGTTATGTTGCATGAATAAATCTTGATAGGATCTACGAGCAGAAGATCTGCATAATAGAAATTCCAAGTTTGGTGAAGTAGTATGGATTTCAATAGTTAAGCTAGTTAATACTTGATCTAATAAAAAACCTGAGTATGAAAGATATAAGATCGATAGATATGAGTAAGACTATTATAAATCTGCAACCTAGTACTAACTACAAATAGCAATACCAACTTGGCTTAGTAGCTAACTTAATTAGAAAGATCTACTTTGTAAAACATCTAACTGGAACTTGAAAGACTATATCTAGTGAAGAGTTATAGCAGGAACTAGATTTGTATGAATATCAACAAGAGTATAAACTAGATAAATCTGTAAAATAAACATATAACTACTCTGGTAAGAATTACTTTTAAGATTAGCTAAAGCTCTGTAACTCATAATATGTTGAACAATATGTATCTTAAAGAAAATCTAAACTATATGATAAATAAATCTGTATGTAAGTCAACTAGCTTAAGCAGTCAGATATAGTAATGATGTTAGTTTAGGATAGAATAAAGAGTTAATAATCAGAATGTTTAAATAGGTAACTCACAGACAGGTTGCAGGTATAGCAGTATAGTGTAGAACTAACAGATAGTTGATTATCTGTATAGCAAACTACTTAAATTAGATAATGACTAAAATTGTACATGTGACTTATATAAATACTATTACTCATAGGTGGATTACGAATTAAGTTTTTAAAAATTATATAATTTGATTGGTTAATTATCACGGGTAATCACGGGTAGATCTACAAAAATTAACCAATCATATGAATGTCTTCCTATAAACCTCCTGTAGCCGAATTTAGAACAAAAATGTAATTTACAAGGATCGTTTTGTATTTGCTAGTTAGTAATACAGTTACACGCACGACGTATTCTTTTATTTGAACCCATGTTTTTTCAAAACTTTAGGAGGAAAATATTGAATATATAAAAACCTACTTTCATTTTTAATTCGATTAAAAACCACCTTTTTATACAACACTTATACCTATGGACCGGCAAAGTGAAACCGTCACTAGGTGGGACGTAAACAAGGTGCATGCCTGGTTTGCTTCTCTTGGCTTCACAAATTATGAATCTCAAATAAAAGGTATCTTGCTTTAGAAGCATCCGTCTTATAATTTATATCTTACTAGATTAAATAGCATTACCATCTTGAATTAATGTTATAGAGCAAGACATAGATGGAGAGATCTTGGTTCTTCTAGACCATGAGGCACTCAAAGACCTTGGTGTTCGGTCAGTTGGTCACCGAGTTTCCATACTAAAAGCCATTTATAACCTAAAAATACAATATAATGTACCCGTTGAGTTAGGGCAATATATTCCTCCTTGTAAGTCAAATACTCTTTATAATAATTAAGTAAGGAATAATTTTAGATATTCACTGATCGTTTCTTTATATTTTTAGCTGCAGAATTTGAAAGTGTATGTATGTGTTCAATGATATTTCGTTACTTAGAAATTTTGTTAATAATATTTTCGTTTTTTAGGCAATGAATGTTACGAATGGCATTCCGGACCTTCGTAAAATCGAAGGCGCAATCCAAGAACGAAGTATGTTGAATAATTTTTTTCTTTAAAAAAAAAAATTCCTAAACTTATTAATAATAATTTTATTATAAAATTTTTAGATGCCTTAATTTATCATTTGTCAGATGAAGTGAAAGGTTTAAGGTCTGAATTGGCAAAGTTACGTGAAGAGATGACACCAGTTTTGAAAATTACAAAAGAAAATAAGGTTTTACAATGAATAGTTGTTGTATATATATAATTAACTTGATAAACATTATTTAATTTTCATTTAATAACTATTTTGCAGCCTTTGCCCGAGCCAGAGCGAAATAGCATTGACAATCCGAGCACACCAAGTACTTCAAAAACAACCAATCTTTCTGTGCAAGTTCCTGGGATAAGTGTTACTAACTTTTCAAGATCACCTACGTATTCATCTGACGGTTCGAGTGCTCCTCCTTCACCTCATTCTCCATATGACGGTGGTAATAGTCGTCGTCATTATAATAATAATAATAATAATAATAGTAATAATAATAATAATAATGATTTTGATGTAAGGAACTTTTTATAACTATTTATCTCAGTATTAGAATTAACTTAACAGAATACTAATCGGTTCAGATTTTTAGCCGAGACCAAGCGCGAGTTATCATCAAACTCCAGTTATCAATGATGCTATTAAATTCTTTGGAAATCAATCATATAAAAGTTTTCGTGTATCACTTGAAGACCCATGTCATAAAGTCTTACCTGCCGCTCTGAAAAAATATAAAATTACGGATGATTGGCGTCAGTATGCATTGTTTATTCGTTTTGGCAGTCCAGGTAATTAAATATAGGAATACATCCAACAAATTCAAATAAAAATTCAACATTTTAATGGTAACGGTAATATTTATTTTTATTATTATTATTTTTTTTGAACAACAGATCATTTAACGGAACGTTGTTTGAGTTATGATGAAAAGCCACTATTATTATTCCAAAAACTAAAAGAAGCTTATCAGAACCCAGTATTTATGTTAAAGAATATTAAAGAGATCAAGTCACCTGTTGCAACTGCTGAAGAAATCATTAATTCATTAAAAGCAAATAAGAAACGACGTACAACACAATTCCTAAATAAAGAGTTACCACCAGCACCTAATGAATATCCAAGTCATAACCAGGAACCACCACCTGCTTACGAATTGACAGAAGAAGAACGATCATCTGAAGAAACATTAATAGAAGGAAATGGAACTGCTATTGCAATATATCCTTATGTTGCTGAACTTGATGATGAACTTAATGTGGTTGTTGGTGATATTTTTAAAATTAGGAGTAGATCAGGAGGTTGGTGCTTTGTTGAAAGAGACGGGCAGACAGGTTGGGTACCTGCAAATTTCTTGCTTGAAACCAGTGTCAATGGAGGTGATATTATGGATAGTGACAGTCCATATGTTGGAAGGGGTGTAGCCTTAATGGAGTATAATAGAAATACAAATGATGAATTGAGTATGAAAAAGGATGATAAGCTTCGTATTTACAAAAAAAAGGATTATTGGTTATATTGTGAAATAAATAATGTGCGTGGTTGGGTACCGAGTTGGTACGTTAGGGTGGATAAAGAAGCTGTCGATGATGATGAGAACGAGGTAAAATAAGGGAGCCGTTTTTTCTGTTACCATTCGATTTATATATAATTTTTTATTTTCAGTGGTTTCATGTGGATTTTGCCTTTTAGGATGTATGCATATAATTTGCCCAAAATCAACCCTTATGTCAAAAAAAAAAAAAAAAAAAAAAAAAAATCCCTGGCTGAAGATCGCCGCCGGTCCGGCTCCGGAAGCCGATTCTCCCTGAGACTGTCAGTAAAAATTGACGTTGAAAGATTTTTGACCAGTCAGACCACAGGACCAGGTATAACGTAAAATCAATAAAAAAAAATCGCCATAACATAAATATAACAGTGTTATGGCACATTTTCTCTAGTTACCGTACTTATTGGTCAAATGAACTAACATACCCAAATTTTATATGTAAATTTATATATAAAAAAAAAAAAAAAAAAAATCATTTAAACTTGGTTTGATTAAAATAATGAAATATAAACTTTATTTTAGATATATAATTTTTTAGCATTTGTACAAAATTTATGAACATTAAAAAATACAATTTTAAACAAGAAAATTACTACGAATAACCACCGGTGATCATCACCAGTAACATGTAAAATTAGTAATGATAAAACAAAAAAAAATCCCATTTCATTTACTTTAGGGATAGGGCGAGGCCTGAGATTTTATTTAGGCATTAGTATATGCAAAATTTAGTAAGAAATTTTTTTTTTGTTAGAACATCGAAGGTGGTTTCATAAGCGAATTTTATTTTCGATACACGAAATTGGCGATGATAACCAGTGGCGATAAATTAGGGATGTTAAATTGCGAATCCAATCCTAGGATCTAAAAGACAGTTCTGGACTCTATCCTTTAAATCACATGAAAATACAATACATTTTATAGGACTTAGATCCTAAATTGAATCTATCGAATAAGTCCATCCAATCAAATTAATTTTGTATTGTTATAAAATGTATTGTGTTTTCATGTGATTTAAGTACCAATCCTGCAGGTCCTTGTAAGGACCGGTTAGGATTCGGTCCCAAAAGACCGATTAACATCCCTACGATAAATAGCAAACTTCTATTATATTATATAACCTGCAATTTTTCGATTTTTTTAATTTTATAAACAATTGGTTTATTTTATTCTCTGATTTAGCTATAAGCAATGCAAGCATATCATCACTTAGAGAATTATTATATCTTTTTTCTAGCACCCTAGCGTTACCAACCTAAAAAATTTCGCTACTGGCATTAGCGTTAGGGTTAGGGTATGTTACACCTGATCTTGAATTTTAATTCGACCAGATAGCGAAATTTTTTAGATTGGTAACGCTAGGGCTGTTCATTTTTCTAAAATTTTTCTTTAATAAATATAAATCCAAGAAAATGCTTATTAGGGATCTTCGATTTTATCCAATTAGAATGTGTCTGTTCAGAGTGCTAAGCAGTATTTATTTACATATCGATATGTTGTGCGTCAGATTAAAACTTGCGTCAGATTAAAACTAGCCTAAATTATAGTTAGGGTTAGGATTTAGCAAGGCAGATCATTTAATGGTTTTAATCTGACGCTAATCTGACGCACGTTGGTATGTTCAGCCAATTAGAATACAATATTTGGTGTAACGTAATATAACGTGATCAGTAACTAAAGTTGTTGATTGTCTACTTTTCCGAAACTTGCCGACAATTCAGGTTGGCCAAATTTATGTTGCTCGGCCCAAATTACAATCTTAATTTTGCCCGTAGTGGTATTGTTACACTGCATTA